ATAAAACTTCACTCTCGAGATATCCCGATCCAGTACAGTGTGCCCCTGTGGATCCCGGGAATAAAACTTCACTCTCGAGATATCCCGATCCAGTACAGTGTGCCCCTGTGAATCCCGGGAATAAAACTTCACTCGAGAGATATCCTGATCCAGTACAGTGTGCCCCTGTGGATCCCGAGAATAAAACTTCACTCGAGAGATATCCTGATCCAGTACAGTGTGCCCCTGTGGATCCTAAGAATAAAACTTCACTCTCGCGATATCCTGATCCAGTACAGTGTGCCCCTGTGGATCCCGGGAATAAAACTTCACTCTCGAGATATCTTGATCCAGTACAGTGTGCCCCTGTGGATCCCGGGAATAAAACTTCACTCGAGAGATATCCTGATCCAGTACAGTGTGCCCCTGTGGATCCCGGGAATAAAACTTCACTCGAGAGATATCCTGATCCAGTACAGTGTGCCCCTGTGGATCCCGGGAATAAAACTTCACTCTCGAGATATCCCGATCCAGTACAGTGTGCCCCTGTGGATCCCGGGAATAAAACTTCACTCTCGCGATATCCTGATCCAGTACAGTGTGCCCCTGTGGATCCCGGGAATAAAACTTCACTCTCGAGATATCCTGATCCAGTACAGTGTGCCCCTGTGGATCCTGGGAATAAAACTTCACTCTCGAGATATCCCGATCCAGTACAGTGTGCCCCTGTGGATCCTGGGAATAATACTTCACTCTCGAGATATCCCGATCCAGTACAGTGTGTCCCTGTGGATCCCGGGAATAAAACTTCACTCTCGCGATATCCCGATCCTGTACAGTGTGCCCCTGTGGATCCCGGGAATAAAACTTCACTCTCGAGATATCCCGATCCAGTACAGTGTGCCCCTGTGGATCCCGGGAATAAAACTTCACTCTCGAGATATCCTGATCCAGTACAGTGTGCCCCTGTGAATCCCGGGAATAAAACTTCACTCGAGAGATATCCTGATCAGTACAGTGTGCCCTGTGGATCGGAAAAACTTCCTCGAGGATATCCTGATCAGTACAGTGTGCCCTGTGGATCGAGATAAAACTGCTCTGAGGAGATATCCTGATCCAGTACAGTGTGCCCTGTGGATCGGGAATAAAACTTCACTTTCTAGAGATATCTGATCCAGTACAGTGTGCTATGTGGATCGGAGATAATACTTCACTCGGGGAGATATCCTGATCCAGTACAGTGTGCCCCTGTGGATCCCGGGAATAAAACTTCACTCGAGAGATATCCTGATCCAGTACAGTGTGCCCCTGTGGATCCCGGGAATAAAACTTCACTCGAGAGATATCCTGATCCAGTACAGTGTGCCCCTGTGGATCCTAAGAATAAAACTTCACTCTCGCGATATCCTGATCCAGTACAGTGTGCCCCTGTGGATCCCGGGAATAAAACTTCACTCTCGAGATATCTTGATCCAGTACAGTGTGCCCCTGTGGATCCCGGGAATAAAACTTCACTCGAGAGATATCCTGATCCAGTACAGTGTGCCCCTGTGGATCCTGGGAATAAAACTTCACTCGAGAGATATCCTGATCCAGTACAGTGTGCCCCTGTGGATCCCGGGAATAAAACTTCAAAACTTCACTCTCGAGATATCCTGATCCAGTACAGTGTGCCCCTGTGGATCCCGGGAATAAAACTTCACTCTCGAGATATCCTGATCCAGTACAGTGTGCCCCTGTGGATCCCGGGAATAAAACTTCACTCTCGAGATATCCTGATCCAGTACAGTGTGCCCCTGTGGATCCTGGGAATAAAACTTCACTCTCGAGATATCCCGATCCAGTACAGTGTGCCCCTGTGGATCCTGGGAATAATACTTCACTCTCGAGATATCCCGATCCAGTACAGTGTGTCCCTGTGGATCCCGGGAATAAAACTTCACTCTCGCGATATCCCGATCCTGTACAGTGTGCCCCTGTGGATCCCGGGAATAAAACTTCACTCTCGAGATATCCCGATCCAGTACAGTGTGCCCCTGTGGATCCCGGGAATAAAACTTCACTCTCGAGATATCCTGATCCAGTACAGTGTGCCCCTGTGGATCCTGGGAATAAAACTTCACTCTCGAGATATCCTGATCGAGTACAGTGTGCCCCTGTGGATCCCGGGAATAAAACTTCACTCTCGAGATATCCTGATCCAGTACAGTGTGCCCCTGTGAATCCCGGGAATAAAACTTCACTCGAGAGATATCCTGATCCAGTACAGTGTGCCCCTGTGGATCCCGGGAATAAAACTTCACTCGAGAGATATCCTGATCCAGTACAGTGTGCCCCTGTGGATCCCGGGAATAAAACTTCACTCGAGAGATATCCCGATCCAGTACAGTGTGCCCCTGTGGATCCCGGGAATAAAACTTCACTCTCGAGATATCCCGATCCAGTACAGTGTGCCCCTGTGGATCCCGGGAATAAAACTTCACTCTCGAGATATCCTGATCCAGTACAGTGTGCCCCTGTGAATCCCGGGAATAAAACTTCACTCTCGAGATATCCCATCCAGTACAGTGTGCCCCTGTGGATCCCGGGAAAAAACTTCACTCGCGAGATATCCTGATCCAGTACAGTGTGCCCCTGTGGATCCCGGGAATAAAACTTCACTCGAGAGATATCCTGATCCAGTACAGTGTGCCCCTGTGGATCCCGGGAATAAAACTTCACTCGAGAGATATCCTGATCCAGTACAGTGTGCCCCTGTGGATCCCGGGAATAAAACTTCACTCTCGAGATATCCTGATCCAGTACAGTGTGCCCCTGTGGATCCCGGGAATAAAACTTCACTCTCGAGATATCCTGATCCAGTACAGTGTGCCCCTGTGGATCCCGGGAATAAAACTTCACTCTCGAGATATCCTGATCCAGTACAGTGTGCCCCTGTGGATCCTGGGAATAAAACGTTATTGACAACATTCCACGTCCTGGGAATAAAACGTTATTAACAACATTCCACGTCCTGGGAATAAAACGTTATTAACTATTTTCTACATCCTGAACAAGTACTTTATGGAATTGAATTTTACTGACAATTTTCTGCAGCCTGCTGAGCTTAGACACTGCTCTACGTGATGGCAAACTAGATGTGGTCTTTCCTATTAACCAGAATCTTTAGCGAGATATTCCACCCCTTCTTTTCTGGGTACAGGGTCATTTCAGGGCAATATTGGAGATATGAAACTATAAATCTTCCACATTTAGTCCGTTGTCTGAACACTTTAGGACACCAGGTTTATAAAGATTAACTATGGACTACTCTGCAAAGTGGTTCTACTGGTCCCACCACTTCTGGAATGAAGGACACACCCAGGGCTAACAACATATGACTAGAAGATTTAACCCGGTTTCCTCTGACATGACAATCAATTATCAGGAAGGAGTGGAGAGGATTACCTAAAGAGCCATGTTTAAAGGGTTACAGACAGAACATATATGTAGGTTCATGTCCTATTGCAGCAAGGAGACTCCATAGTATTATGTTCCATCTAATAATCAACTGGATTTACAAACACAGACATTT